ACTTTGTCACCCTCAGTAGAGTGCAGTAGTGTCATAGCTCACAGCAACTTCCAACTCTTGGGCTCAAGTAATACTCTTGCCTCAATCTCCAACTCCAAGTAGCTGGGGTTATAGGCGCCCATCACAATGCCCGGCTATTTTTAGAGACGAGGTCTCCCTCCGCCTCAGGCTGGTCTGGAACCTGTGAGCTCAGGTAATCCACTTGACTTCTCTTCCTTCTTCCAACTATCTTAAGACTAGGGACACACTTCTCTAATGCTATGTAGGGGCTGTTGCTATGGCCTGGCCTTAGCTATGGGACCAGCCCTGAACAACATTGCAAAGCTGGACACCACAGAGATTCGAAAAGAGACTGGCAGGTGTGCAGGATGTCAAGAGAATTCTTCCTCCGTTCTTTGGTCTCAGTATTGAGCATAACAGCAGTTTATCAGAGAACATGATATGAAAAGACAAAATCACATGCTACATATGAAAGGAAAACAAGGCCAGACGCGGTGACTGACACAGTGGCTAACACATGTAATCCTAGCACTCTGGGAGGCAGAGGTGGGTGGATAGCTTGAACTCATGAGTTCAAGAGCAACCTGAGCAAAAAGTGACACCCCTATCTCTACTAAAAATAGAAAAACTGAGGCAAGAGGATCGCTTGAGCCTGAGTTGGAGGTTGCTGTGAGCTATGATGCCACAGCATTCTACCCAAAGTGACAGCTTGTGACTCTGTTTAAAAACAAAAAAGGAAAGGAAAACAAATAGTTTTAAATCACTAAAGAAATCGCTCTACAGGGATGATACCCTTTTGCTCTGCAATAATTTATTCAAATATTCCTGCAAAAATAGAATAAACTTTCTCATAGAAATAAGCCAGAAAAAAGGTAGAATAATCTATCATTTCCACCTTGTGATAAAGTAGTAAGAAATCTATCTGATACTACCTTCAATACATGACACTATACTTAGTATCTGCTGAGGATTGCTTGGATAGATGATAAATAAAAAGGCAACTGGCAAGTAATTCCCAAAATATACAGGTTCCATTATTTAGTTCCTTAAAAATTAATTCAAAATTTTGGCAGTGTGGTACCTGCACAGGGAGGCAGGATCTAAAAACACACAGCCCTTGCAAGTTAACTGCTCCCTTGAGTTGTCACCCTGACGGAGGCCTATCCTCCCCATCCCCACAAACCCCCAAATTCTAGGTTCTCAAAAGCTATAACAATAGGGGATTGGCTCAAACTGCAGCGTAATCATTTTCATATAAGCATTTACTTAAACAGAAGTAGAAGACCAAACCACACCCCTTCAGCTTACTGAAAAGTAGGTTGAGAAAAGCTCTGCCGTACTCGAAAAAGCAACTCGAGTATGGTCATCTTTCCCAACGCAACAGCACAAGAACTTGATTCTGGTTTCCCACACGCTTGTAGCTGCTGTCTTGAGGCCATTAAGAAACTGGCTAGAATCATGAGTATCGAGGTGACTGGGACCAGCAGAGAAATATGGAGGCATTTTCCCCCCCAGGGGGTCAAAGACAATGATAACGGTAACCACAGTGGCAATGATGATGATCCAACTGCAAAACATAAAGAGGAAAGACTTGATGACTGTGGGCCCCCTCCAGATGCAGGGCCCAGGGCTCCCTCCTTGGGCTGTTTCTGTATCTTTACAACTGAGGGTCCAGTTCCCAAGGAAGATGCAGTTCTCTGACAACAGGCTGAGGTGAACAACTCATTTCTTCCAGAAAGTTCCTTGTGAGCATACAGCTAATCCAGGCCCCCCAAAGATCAGAGCCCTAAAAGTAAAACCCTTAAAAGGAACACAAGAGCCATCTTGTGTTGGCACAGAAGCAGCTGGACTTGTTCTCCACAGCCCCCGACCATAACCCAGGCCCCTGCTTCTCAATGCATCAGCATTCTCAGTAAAACCAAAAGAATTTCTGTATCCCAGGACACTGAAAGGTGTTTCAATCATAGATTTAAGTATTTCTACATGTCTGTGGTGTGCAAGACCCTAGATTCATGAACACACTGCACTGCTGGGAAGACACACTTCTGTGAAGTGAGTCTGATGCCAATCCTCTTTAGGATTTTTAGCCTAGAGAATGTGAAAACTTTATCACTGCAGAATGGGCAATTAAATTTGCAAACTCATCCTAGAAAAAGTGCTACATACCTCACTGCTGAGTACCACTATGGTCACTTTTAAAGTACTCCTCTTGGCCATTTGGTGACTGTAATGATATTCAGCAATAAGGTATGTAGCACTTTTTCTATGAGTTCTTGAACTTAATGGTCAGACCTTGTACAATAACAGCTCTGATGGCTGTTCAAGAAAAGAGTTCCAAAATTGCTTTGAAGAGTGTACTAGACACTGGCATCAGTATATAGCTTCTAAAGGGAGTATTTCAAAGGTGACAGGAGTGAAATTCAGCAATGAAGTGGGCAGCACTTTTTTTTAGGACAAATTCATGAACTTAATTGCCTGCACTCATATTCTTCCCTGTAGCAATTCTTGACACTGTATCTCTTCTCATCCCTTCAGTTTTAGTTTCTGCCCTTGTTTTGGTCTTTAGTTTTCTTCCTTCTTATAAGGGATGAGAGGGAATGAGAAGAGTAAGAATCAGTAAGAAAAAAATTACATCAATAAATGTACAATGAAAGATGAGTTATTTCTCATGTATAAACATATATCTCTAAATTTTCATGAGTTACTCAGAAAGGTCCAATTTTTAACTATAGAAAGCCCATATGATTCTAGGCTATCTGTTGTGTTTGTCAGAAAGGTTTGTTCACCTACATCTCAAATGCATTTATTTATTTAATTACATCTCAAATGCATTTAAATGCTAAGAGAAGAAGGGAGACCTCACCTGACAATGACGGTTATTTCGATGCCATTCTCAACTGTCTTATCACACCGAATACCATGTGCTATCCAGGCAGCCCCCAGAGAAGCCCAGAGCATCTCTGGCAAAAACAGTGCCAGGCGGATATAAAGCAGCTTAGTCATAGACTTCCGAGGTCCAGGGTTACAAATGGTTCCTGAAATACAGAAAATATTCAGAGTGCTCATTTGCTTCCTCAGAGATGAAGAACTTCATTTGTACAAAAATAAAGCAAACATTTGTACTGTACCCACACCCACCAAATGACTTTTCTACTTGTAATTGGTAATCAATCAAGTATGAGAGCATGCGACAAAGTGAGGATGGAAACCTATGACAAAAAGCCTTAGATTAGCCAGGCATGGTGGGTCATGCCTGTAATCCTAGCACTCTGGGAGGCCAAGGTAGCAGATCACTTGAGCTTACAAGTTCGAGACCAGCCTGAGCAAGAGTGAAACCCCCCCACTCCACCCTCACCCTCCTGTCTCTAAAAATAGCCAGGTGTTGTGGTGGGTGCTTATAATCACAGCTACTTGGGAGGCTCAGGCAAGAGAATCACTTGAGCCTAAGAGTCTGAGGCTGCTGTGAGCTATGATGCCATGGCTCTCTACCAGGGGTGACAAAGTGAGACTCTGTCTCAAAAACAAACAAAAAAAAAAAAAAGGACTTAGATTCATTTCTTAAGATTTACCAGAGATTAAAAACAATCCCAGGGCTTGGTGTCTGTAGCTCAAGAGGCTAAGGCGCCAGCCAAATACACCAGAGTGGGTGGGTTCGAATCCAGCCTGGGTCTGCCAAACAATGACAACTACAACCAAAAAATAACTGGGCGTTGAGGTGGGCGCCTGTAGTCCCAGCTACTTCAGAGGCTGAAGCAAGAGAATCACTTAAGCCCAGGAGTTGGAGGTTGCTGTGAGCTGTGACGCCATGGCACTCTACCCAGGCCATCAGTTTGAGGCTCTGTCTCAAAAATAAATAAATAAATAAAACACTCCTAGGTTCTAACTAGGGTGACAACTTAATCACTGCCCAAATTGGGATTTTTTTTTT